TCCCCAACTCTAGTGTTTGTTTGTTTGTTTGTTCGTTCTTTCATTTGTTTGTTTGATTTCTAGACCACCCATCTGGCTACCGAGGCCACTCTGGACAGTTCACGCTCATGGAATCATACTCAATGAAGTTCTTTCGTGAACTGTCTTCTGTTCTGAAGGACCCTTGAAGACTTCCATGATGGCTGGCATATTTGAATAACTGCAAATATGTCAATATGTAGCCAGACAGATATCATTGAACAGCATCTCCCATCATCCTTTGCCACTGACCATTCTGGCTAGATCAATGAACCAGAAACATCTCTCATCATTACTAGTTCACATACTGGCTATTGAACTTTGACCACTGAATCCAGATGGGTATTTGGGCACTATATAGACTTATGGCTGGGTTATTCCTACACATCTATAGTAGTGTGTCTTCTAGTCCAAGAGAAGAGAAGAATGATGGGTAGGTTGCTTTGTGAATTTCACTACATTGAAGTACAAGCAATCTGGTAGATAATATTTCTTAGATCAGCTACTCTGACACCATCTAAATAGAAGAAGAAAGCGGAGGAGGAGCTCTGTCTGCCACTGCTTGAGACTTAGCAATTATCTTAGTAATTACAGTCGTGCCTCACTTGACGACGTTAATCCGTTCCAGCGAAATCGTCATCAAGCGAAATTAAAAAGCCCATTAGAATGCATTAGAAACTGGTTAATGTGTTCTAATGGGTGAAATACCTCATCGTAAAGTGAAGATCCTCCATAGGACGGCCATTTTCTGCTCCCTATAGAGCGAAGAATCCGTCCCTAACACAACGGGCAGCCATTTTGGAAACCCGACGATCAGCTGTTTTGATCGTCGTAAAGCGAAAAATCAGTTCCTGAAGCAGGGAACCAATCATCGTAAAGCGGTTTTTTTTCCATTATATCGGTTCCCGAAGCAGGGAACCAATCATCATAAAGCGTTTTTTCCCACAAAAGCAATCGCAGAAACCTAATCGTCAAGTGGATTCATCGTTTAACAAGGTAATTGTTAAGCAACGCACCACTGTAATTAATTTCATTTTTAGATACCCTGGGTGGTATAAATATAAAAACAACAAAGTATCACAAAGCAGTAATAAAAATAGAAAACAGAAAAACCAAAATGAGCAGCAAATACAAATAAACTGGCTATAAGCTCTGATGGTGCGCCATATCAAAACAACAGTGCAGAGGCGAATAAATTCAAGTGAGACTGCCTTCAAAGGCTTCTCAAAACTGATGCATCTTCTCCAGCCTCTGAAAACTAGAGAAGGTGTGACCCAGAAATAACTCCACCAATAGGTGATTCCAAAGTGATGGTGCCACTGCTAAGAAGGCCTGACTTCTTCTCGAAGATTTTCTGGCCTCCTTTGGCATTGCCACTCAGAGGAGCACAGTCAGGGAGGATCTGGTGACACAGTAAGATGACCTTGGGAAAAGATACTCCAACAAGTAACATGGTCCCGGTCCCAAACCACAAAGGGCTTTAAAAGATACTCCAACAAGTAACATGGTCCCAAACCACAAAGGGCTTCCCTTTGCTAAGCATGCTGATGGTGAGTGGCTGAATTTCTTGGATGCTATGCTGTGGATCATTAAAACTGTACGAACAGTCTATTGAAAAGCAACTCAGCTTGCAGTAATTTACACCTGAGATTAACACTGACTTAATTTCATCCATTGGTGATTGGCCAATATCATTGTGAATTTACATCTAAAATTGTAGTACTGTATCTACAAGTAATCTTATCTAGCATTGCATTGGCTGCCCGTACGCTTCCGCGTCGATTTCAAAATCTTGACGTACGCTTCCGCGTCGATTTCAAAATCTTAATGATTACTTACAAAGCCCTAAACGGTTCAGGACCTCGTTATTTGACCGAATGCCTTCTCCCACCAAAGTCTACCCATTTCATTTGATCTAGTGTGGAGGTGCGACTGAGGGGCCTAACGGCGAGTGAGGCCCGGAAGGAAAAAACAAGAAACCGGGCCTTCTCAGTGGTGGCTCCTCGGTTGTGGAAGAGATCTGTATCGCCCCTTCGCTGGGTGTGGTGGCTCCTCGGTTGTGGAACAACTTACTTCCAGAGATCCGTATCGCCCCTTCGCTGGGTGTCTTTAAAAGCCAATTAAAAACATGGCTGTTTAGGCAAGCCTTCCCTCCGGCTATTATTTGATTTATTCTTGTTTTCCATCTTGAACGATTATTTATTTTATTTTTGGATGTTGGTATTATTTTAATTGTCTTTGTTGTGTTTGATACATGCTGCCCAGAGTAGTCAAAATGACTAGATGGGCAGGATAGAAATGTAATAGATAGATAGATAGATAGATAGATAGATAGACAGACAGACAGACAGACAGACAGACAGACAGAGAGAGAGAGAGAGAGAGAGAGGGAGATTAGATAGATAGATAGATAGATAGATAGATAGATAGATAGATAGATAGATAGATAGATAGATAGATAGATAGATAGATAGATAGATAGATAGATAGATAGATAGATAGATAGATAGATAGATAGTTGGCTCTTTTCTGCCTGGTTGTTTGCTGGAAACTTGTGACACTCCATGTATTTTTTGCCTGCACCTCCCGTCCGTGCCAACCAGGGACTGGTTGCTCATTATTACACTTTTATTACAGTCAGCCTAGGCCTCAATCATTAAAATAAAGTAAAATAAAATGAAAGGCAAGGATGGGAGAATATACATTTACTTACCTGTTTTCGTCAGTCACTCAGATATCCAGCCTCCCCTCCTTACTTTCTTTCATGAAGGACTATGTCAGTTCCAAATCCTATTCAAAAGTTATGCTGACACAATTCCATGGGGGTAAAAGTCAATGGGGAATTGCCACAAGTTAACAAGACAGTGCAGGCATTTGCTCCCATGCACTGACACACATGACTTCTCAACTTGCAGCAATTTACACCAGAGATTAAAATTGACATAGTCGCACCAGCAGATGGAACTAATAAGATTCTGGCCAATATCTTTGTGAATTTCCATCTGAAATTTTAGTATCTGCAAGTAATCCAATCTAGTTGGCTCTTCCTGGCAAATGGTGACACTCCAGCTATCTTTTGCTTCCACCTCCCATCAGTCCCAACTAGGGATGTAAAATTGTTCATTATTAATGAGACAGACTGAGCGCTGCAAGAACAAGGGAATACTCTTCCGCCCCGCCCCCAACTGGGCTTGCAGAAGATGTGCAAAATGCCTCTGCACAAAATTAGTGCGTTTTTCCTTTGCAAAGCAAAGCATGTATCTGCAGCAATCACAGAATATGAAAGATGCAAACAACCTATCCAGTATTTCTAATTTTTGAAAGTCTATGCAACAAGAAAGCAGCTATTATAATTTCCATGGAGAGGACATTTTCCTTCCTGATGCAAAATGTTCAATCCAGTGTCGAATTTGCAGGTCTGAAGGAGCACAGATTAGAGATGGGCATGAACTGCTGGTTCAGCAGCTTATGCCAGTTCATTAATCAGCTGAAAGGGGTTTTGGCACTTCAAAGCCCCATCTCCTCCATTGGGTGCCCATTCAGAGGTAGTGCCCGGAGGAAGTGGGACACACTGGGTATATATAATGTCAGGCCACTGCCTCCCATTGGGTGACAGTAGGAAGAGGCGGGACTTTGAAGTGCCAAACAGGTGTTCAGCCAATAAATTAACTGACATGAACCACCAAACTAGGCCCATCTCTAGCACAGTTCAACCACAAATTCTCCATCTTGGTGTGCTGGAGTTTGCAGGTACTTGCCAGGAGCTTTACATATGCCATAGATTCCCAGAAAGATAAGCAAATGGGTTCAAGAGTAAATCATGCCTCAGTTCTCACTAGAAGCTGGAATGGCTAAACTGAGGCTATTGTACTTGGGTATATCGCAAAAAGACAAGACACCCTAGAAAAGAAAATAATGCCATGAGAAGTGGAAGGCAGCAGGAAAAGAAGAAGCTGTGACATGAATTATTAGGTAAGGTTTCCATAAGTCGAAAACAACTTGATGACCCATAACAGACCATTACAAGAGTAAAAGGAGAAGAATTTTGTTGAGTTTGCCTGACCTTATGGAAACAACTACTCTACACTGCCTAAGATTAGCCTTGGGACAAAGTGCATCTTAGAATTTGACATTTTTAATGATTTTCACAAAGAAGAAATATACCCAAACCTATGCATGGACTCGATAAAAAGTACATGATGCAATATGCAGGCATTTTAGTTTATGGGGGAAATGTATATGGAGTTCTCTCAGTACGGGAAAAATATTGAAATGTATGCATATAAAAATATTTTATGGGGGAAAATCTGCCCCCAAATATGCAATGACTTCCAAGCAGAAAGGAATCTCATAGTCTGATACAGAACTGGGACAGGACAAAAATGATAATAGGATACTGAGAAATTTATGGGGAAAAAGAGACTGGCAAATTTCCTTAACAGCAGTGCACCACAGCGCTGTATCGGATGAAAGTCGGGGAGACTTTCAAATCCCTGGTCAGCAGAGACCAGTGGCTTCCTCTCAGTCTCTACTTGCTTCTTAGTGGAACTCATATGTTCCACCCTGAGCTGCTTGGAGTAAAGGCAGGGTCCAAATACACACTGCAGAACTTACACACATCTTTAACAATGTCAGAGCTTGGAATCTCACATTATGGATTACAGCTCCCAGATCCCCCCAGACCCCAAATTGGGGACTCTGGGAATTGTAATCTGAAAAAAACTAACATTTTCAGCCTCTGAGTTGTTCTATTCAGGTATCAAATACTCATCCTCTTGGCTATATCTTTGTGGGAGATCTTTTGGAATTCAGCGTAAGCACAACTCACAGCTGATCTACATGACATTTCACCTACCCTTTTCCCATGTGTGCCAAAGGCAGCTTAACAAACGCAAACGGATGGTGAATATTTTCCCAACGATTTCTTTTCAGTCTTCATTTCATTCTAACGCAAGGGCACAAATCCTAGTTTATGTCATAATAGATGGACAACAATAGTGCAGTTTAATGAAAATAAAACGCTAAACAGTGCTACATGTTGACAGAGTCATGATGGATATAATTTGGAGTGCTTTCGATGATGTGGGTCTTTGAAAAATAGCTGGCAAACCTGCAAAATGACAAATGTATTTAAGGATCTATGCCATTCAAATGATACCACCACATGTCTGTTTTGGAATTTTCCCTATTAAATGTGGGGAATATGGGCAGGAAAGCATTTGCATATTGTGTTCTTTAAACAACATTTTAAAAAGAAGTGTTTGTGTTGCATTGGGGGATGTCTGTCAATAACACCCAACATTCAGCATTCCCAAAGATATGGCTGCATAAAGTGCACAGATTGGAGGTGGGGGAAGGAGGGAGGGAGACTGGGTGGCAAAAATGCATCAATAATGTATCTATGAGTTTCTGCTTTTTTAAAAACAAAAATAAAAATGACTCTATTTCCATACTGGGAAGTGAAATGCTTGAACTTCTCAGCAAAAGTCGAGCCTTGGATGACAGGCAGTTTCTGATCGCAACTACGCTGGTGTAGAAGAAGTAATTCTCCTGATTGCCATGACTTGATTCCAACTTGACATTCACTCCCTAGCAGATCAGAATCCAGAAAACAACACGGCTGTTGTCTCTTTTTCTCCTTTTCTCTGTCACCATGAGCGACCTCCTTGGCTGATTTCTCCCCTCCTCCCTTCAAATGTTTTCCTGTTCTCCAAGTCCATCTGCTAAAAGTATCCCATCTGAACAGTGACAGCATCACGAGCTACTCTTTATCGCTGAAGAGAAAGAGGGCAGTCCTCCCCCCTCCCCATTTTCACCCAGTTTGGGAGCTCAGTGGATGCGCTAATCTTGCTGAACACTTCAGTTTAGATGGTATATCAATGAAGCATTCAAACCCAGCAGTTTATACACAAAAAAATTCTGTCTGCTTTGTAAAAGATTATCCTTTTATAAACACTCTGCGGAAAACATAAAAGCAAATAGGGGACAGCACATAGGACAGGAAAGATGTTAGCAGGGAGATTAATGCTGAATGGGTCGAAATGAATGGTGCTTACCCAAACGAGGTCCAGATACTTTGGCTGCAATGAAACATAAATAATGGGAATGACACATCGTTTATTCGGGATAATGAGTTGATCCGAAGTAGGGGCCTAGAACAAGAGATTAAAGATTAAATATCCATCTCCTGATGAATATCAGTAGCAAACTTTAACCTTTTCCTTCCAAAAGCACAATTTCTTTGAACAAATCATGTCAGCACAACACAATGAAGAAACCCGCTGAAGCCAACTTAAATGGCATTCCAAATTTTGTTGGTCGGGAGAAGGGGGGAGAAAACACACTGCGTCCAACATTTTGCCTGCAATTTAAGAAAAGGAGAGATAAATATTTAATTATTTACACATTCTGTAGTGCTTTTGGAATAATTGCGGAAGGGCTCAAAGACCAGGCTTTGTGTTTTTCTCTTTACACAGGAAAAAAAAATGGCTTTGGATTTTGGTACTGCCTGTCTAGCCTAGTTTGCTGCAAAATCATTGCCAAAAGAACATACCGACTCAGAACACTTACTTTGGTTGAGAAACAATAACCAAGAGCAGCCTTCTGGAAAGAGAGAGAGAGAGAGAGAAGCACATAGCATACCACATGCTAAATCAGAGCCTCACATTCAAGGAGAGCTTGGAAAATGTCGCAGGCCTCTCCAATCAACAGGGGTGGGAAACACAGCAAGATGGGGCAGGGAACAGGCCATGTTGAAATGTTGGCAGCCTTTCCAGGCTGGTCAATTAGTGGTCCTTCTTGCTCAAGATGCTGAAATGTAACTGAGGCAGAAGACACAGGACAAGTGGGAATCTGGATAACTGTGGCGTGCCCAGAACTTGGAACACAGCAGCTGCTGAATGCATTCAGCCAGCCAAGACTAGCCTTGTGGTTTTGTTGCCGACGGCTGCCTCTTGAAGCAAGGATAAAGAAATTGAGGAGGTGGTTGGGGGGAAGGGTGGTCTCTTTCCAAATCGCATTCAGCAAACAAGAGAACCACAGCGGGATGAATCATGTCTGGCAACTTTTCACCTGCTCGGTGGAAATGGGCTGCGGAGGGAAATGAGTTTAGTAGCATCGTTATAGCCTGTGCGGTGAATTCAGTGGAGATGCCAAACCCACATGCATGTGTAGCTGGCAGGAAAAGACGGGATTTGCTTGGTCAATATTAGCTTGCAAAAACTCCTATTCCTGTGAGGGTTTTCATGGATATTTAAGGTGGCAAAAGGGATGGTGCTGCTGGTGGTTTCTTAGTTTATTTACATTTACTGGTTGATTCATCATTTTTGTAAATATATATATATATATCACACACACACACATTTGATTATATTTATTGAAATATTTATACCCTACTCTGTATCTAAGGATCTCAGAGGGAAAAACAAGTAATAAAGCACCACTACAGTATTTAGACGCAGTAGAACTGTTGACCAATTAAATATAACTCAGCTAGTTCATTATATGAGCCTTTTATTTGGACCATGAATTGATTAAAGCTGTAGAAAGCTTGTAAGAGTCACTGTGATGTAGTAGTTGGTCTTTCATGTCAAACCAAGAAGTCTCAGATTCCAGGCCCCACTGGATAACGAAAGGAATACCTTGGGCCAATCACTTTCTGTCAGCAAGCCACAGGATTGTTGTGAAAATAATGAAGAGAGGTTTTATTCATCCCCGAGCTCCCTTAAAAATGTTAAATGCACACATTTATGTGGGGAGGGGGTTTGAGAGTGTAAGGGAAGCTGTGAGCTATACTTTCAGGAGACCAGACTCCATTACGATTCTAGTCTCTCAGCAGAGTGATCCAGGCAGTATTAGCAGTGCTGTGACACCAAGATGTATTCTTCCTCTTCAGGAATTATTGGTCACATCAGCAAAAGAGAATGGATGGTTCCAGTGGTGGAGAAATTTCTAGAGGCCAGCTGCTGGGTGACAGCAGTACAGTGGGGTCTTGACTTGAGAACTTAATCCGTATTGGAAGGCGGTTCTCAAGTCAAAAAGTTCTCAGGTCAAATCTGCATTTCCCATAGGAATGCATTGAAAACCATTTGATCCGTATCTGCTCTTTTCCGTCCATAGAAACTAATGGGAAGCTGCTATTCTGCCTTCGACCACTAGAGGGGGATATTTTGTTTCTTTTTTTCTTAGGTCAAGAAAGGTTCAGGGAAGGCAGGGAAAATACAGTCCAGGCAGTACAGTACCAGGCATTTATTCATCCCCGAGCTCCCTTAAAAATGTTAAATGCACACATTTATGTGGGGAGGGGGTTTGAGAGTGTAACGGAAGCTGTGAGCTATACTTTCAGGAGACCAGACTCCATTACGATTCTAGTCTCTCAGCAGAGTGATCCAGGCAGTATTAGCAGTGCTGTGACACCAAGATGTACAGTATTCTTCCTCTTCAGGAATTATTGATCACATCAGCAAAAGAGAATGGATGGGGTTCCAGTGGTGGAGAAATTTCTAGAGGCCAGCTGCTGGGTGACAGCAGTAGTGGAAGGTGGCACTAGCTAAGGATCTACAGTAGGAGTCATTGGGAAATATAGTTCCATGATTCCAAAGTAACATTTCAGTATTGCCCAGCAGTGATGATTCTACAAATCATCATGTGATTTAAATACACAACCAGGTTTGTGAGAGGAGGACACCACCCACCAACTATTGAGGTGATATACCTGTCCCCACTTACCCGTAAGTGAAATTTTTTGGGAGGGCAATTTTGCATTTCTGTTCCATGACAAACCAATGGAGCTGTTGACAAATTATCTCCCAGTCCACTACATCAGAGGGCAGAATGGCACTGGATGTGCATCAGGAATGACTGAAACATCAATTCCACCCAATACATGCCAGAAGAGGTGATTTGTGACAGCTCTGCATGAGTAGTGCTGTTGCACTCTTTCTAAACACAGCAAAGATCAGTGTGCAACTTTCATTGCTTTTGGGTAAGGCCCAGAGTGAACTGGAAAAGAGATTTCCTGATGAATAAGGAAGTGCACTGTTCATCCGTTCTCTGGCTAAGAGCTTCCACCACATCATCACTTTGTAAGACACTCAGTTCACCGTCAAACATTTACCTTTATTTACCTTTACATTGTGTCTAGTTAAAATATTCTGGCTTGTCATTTGCACCCACTGGTTCAGTCCTATCCTCTGCAGCAACAGAGGACAACAATTGACAAATATTGGTCAAAACCTTTTTTGCTTAGTGTAGCAAATTGCACTAGAGTAGAAATACTGAATCCACAAGGATCTGCTGAGTCAACTCCTCTGTAAGTTCCATTGATCCAAATGGGCCTACCTTAACTCAGATTTACTATGCTAAAAATAAGTCACAGTTAGAATAGGCTCATTTGAATCAACAGATCTGATCAAGGAGTTGACTCACCAAATCCCTACTAATTCAATGAGCCTATTCTAGTGCAATTTATTACACTAAACAATAAGATTTTGTGGTTGTTGTGGGTTTTTTGGGTTCTTTGGCCGTGTTCTGAAGGTTGTTCTTCCTAAAGTTTCGCCAGTCTCTGTGGCCGGCATCTTCAGAGCACAGGAGTAGCACGCTGTGCTCTGCTATTCCTATCCTCTGAAGATGCCAGCCACAGAGACTGGCGAAACATTAGGAAGAACAACCTTCAGAACACAGCCAAAGAACCCGAAAAACCCACAACAATCACTAGATCCCGGCCATGAAAGCCTTCACGAAAATAAGATTTTGGTCAGTGTCCTTGTTATATGCTATCAGGTCAGTTCTATGTTGCTGCTGCTGTTGTTGTTCCCTTTATTAGTATGTTCCATTTGTTAGATTTATAAACCCTTCTACCAAACGGGAGGCCATTTTGGTAGAGAGGGTTCCTCTACTGAATTCAAGGTGGTGTACATGGGTCTTCTTCTCCCATTTTACCCTCATAACAGCCCTGTGAGACAGCAGGTGAGACAAAGAGAGTGCACCAGGCCCAAGGTCACCGAGTGAATTTCACAGCTGACAGGAGATTTGAACCCAAGTCTCCCCAATCCTATTCCACTTCTGCACATACTATAGTACATCACACTGGCTTTCATTTCCTACACTTTGCTTCTTTAATACTCTTTGATGTATCTGACACAGATTTAAAATTGCTATAATGTTGTAGTATAATAAATCTCTTCTCTGGCTAATATTGTCATCATCACCGCCGTCATCTTAGAACTTTAGAGCTGGAAGGGACACTATAGATCATTAAGTCCAGCCCTTGTCAATGAGGCACAGTAGAAAATCCAACTCCTGACTTCGGGCTCTGCAGCCAGATACCTAAACCACAGAGCTATCCAGAAATTCATGCTCTACTCCATCAACATTTTCTATAATTATTTTATGAAATTAACTCTGATTTCTTAACATACTGATTTCTTTACATCAATTTTGTAAGGAGTGGCTTTCTTCAACTGTAATTCATAAAATAGCACACGTGCAATATGTTAGGAGGACACTAATCAGACATTTATATAGTCTGTTCCACATTTATTTATCAGTACTATTAAAGGAGAGACTAAAGAGATACAAATTCCACCAGTATCGGTCCTAATACTGTAATATAATATGTCCATGCTTGGCCTTGAAAACCACACACTGTAAGTGCAGAGAAAGAATGACAGACCTAAAATGAACTCCATTTCATAAGGAATTTGAGCAGGTGGCAACCATAGTCAGTGTCAGGGATCCCCTGAAGGTGTTTTTTTTTTAATTTGGTTGTACAAAACTCCAATGATTGACATGATAGGAAAGGACAGCACACAGAAAAGTTGCCCACATACAGCTGTACCTTGCCGTAGACTGACAACGACAAGAACTGACTGTGCTGTAAGATATGTCTTCTGTGAGAGACCTCTGAGGCTCTGTTGGCTGCCTAGCAGAGACAAGATGGATTTTTTTTAAAAAAAAAATTAAATTGGGCCTTACCAGTGAGAAACAGACCATAATGTCCCAAATGAAATTAAACACATTAGAGGGGCTTCCATCTCCACTGTATAGCTTTCTTATTTTAGTCTCTGACATTGCTGTCTAGAATTGCTGCCTTCCAGCTTGATGGCAGATTCTGAACCGTAAGGATGGACTAGAGATGGTCATGAACCACAGT